AAAATCGATTCATTAAAATCCTGAATCGATTTTTTAATATAAATTTATTTTGCCCGAAATGCCAGAATCTCAGGTTAAACCTCACAAAATTTCGACAACCACCAAACAGCTAAGACAGTAAATGAGAGCAGGAACATGGATTCTGCACAAAGACAAAACCCGCGGATCAGAATCAATTAGATGTCGCCTTTGATTCTGATCTGTCGGCGGGTCCGTGCTTTGTGTTCCCTTTATGCGCTGATTCTAAAGCTGTTCGTTTGATGTCTCTCCAAACAATATTGACCGAACCAGCAGCAAAAGAAGATCCAAACTACGCTTCACATAAACATCGTCATGTATTCACTCTGACTTTTACTGTTTTGCTTCCAACAAGATGCACAGCTCTCTCTCTCTCTCTCTCTCTCTGTACTTCAACAACAGTTTCCCGTCTAAAAATCTGTTTTCTTCATTATTCGCTTGCTTGTTACGCACAAGTCTACCGTTGTTTACAGCGCTGTCGGACGACTTTTTTTTTTTTCGTTTTATATACTTCCGAAAAGAAAACCTAATTTCTGCCGTTCAATACTGAACAAATTTTAACTTTTTAAAATTATGCAAAATGCAAAACGCTTAGCGGTGTCTCTAATGAAACCGCTGTAACTTCAGAGGTAACGTTCATATGTTGATTCATGGTTTTCTTTCGTTTTTGATGGACTGCAGAATATTTTTATAAAATCCAGGCCAGGAAAATCGCCTTCATGTTTTTCTGTGTTTTATCTTCAGCTACTTTGACACAAAGGCCTCTGCTGTGATGCTCACACCTTTGATAAAGTCTTGCGTGTGTCAGCTTCCTTTTTATAGATACAAAAATATGTAAATGTACTGATCTGAATTATAATATTTCTGGCTGTCAAAATTTCCCAGATTCAAATAGAATTGAATCGAATTGAATTGAATCGAATTAAATCGAATCGTGGATCAAATCGATTCAGGACCTTGTGAATCGGAATTGAATCGATTCTAGAAATCAGTGACGATACCCAGCCCTAGTCTAGGCTGCGTACTTTAAGGCTGCAGACCCTGAATTGGGATACAGCCAGTGTTTCTAGTTTTGCTTCCCCTAGTCTTGTTGTGCTCACAGGTGTGTCCTATTCTCTTGTTATCCCTTAGTGTATTTTAGCCTTGTATTTTCCTTGCTCTCAGTTGCGTCGTACCACTTCTTTGTGCTGTGTGTGTTTCTCCGAGCTCCTTGTGTCCCCAGTTATTCCAGAGTCTGTTCTGGGTTTTGTAGCTTCCTGGTTTCCTGTGTTTTCTGGCCTTAGTTTCTAGTTTTGGTTATATGTCCTTATTCATCACGTTTGGATTTTCAACAACAATAAAAGCTGCCTCTCTCAGTTTACCTCTCTTGTGTTCTGTGTCCTGCATTTGGGTCCTAAACCTTCCTGCCACACAGCGGAAACATGACAAGTTCTTCTTTTTCTTTAGCTTATTGTGTTTCGAGTCAGTAAAGTTTTCTAGTAAGAGGTTTCTTTATTTGCCTTTTCGCATCATCATCGATCACCAGCCTTTATTCATTAAACAGCTCACTTTAAGTCGCTGGGTCATCTCCATTAACACTGTAACACATGCAGACCCACGACAACACGATTCAGATATGAGACGCAAATCAAGTAAATCAGACAAACAGGAAGCTCAAACTGTTTTAAAGCATGAATTCAAACTCCAGCATAAGAAAGCAGGCAGCAAAACTTTATTTAAACAGGCAGAAGCACAACGTGCTGCTCAAAGCAGAAGCACAGAGGAGAGTTTAAACCTCAGTAAACAGATTGTAAACACTGATCATGTGATTCAATAGGTTATTCCAGCATTACAGGTAAAAACAGCTTCAGTTATATTGGTGCAAACTGACGCTGGTCCCAGATAACCTGAGGTGTTGCTCTTCAACCTGTAGATGTGGTTCAGCATTAACGGAGCTTCACATATTTGCTGCTTTGTGCACTAATAATTACTGAGGTCCCAGACTCTGCTTCAGTCCATCCAATGTCCTGCTCAGCATCTAATCAGAGTCCAGGTTTTAACGAGAGGCACTTTTAGAACTAAAGTGCAGTTTAAAAACACGTCACATGAAGATCACAATGAAACGGTCAGTGGTCTTTGAGATTCATCATCACAGACTCTTTCCAAGTCTGTCTTCATTCAGGTTCAGCTCTGTGGAAAGGCATCGATCCTCCTCACAGAGAGCAGCGATCAGCAGTAACCTGGCTTCGCGACCTTTTCGTCGCACCGTGTCCATCACGTCTCGTGCTTTATCTGCTCTGCTCTGCTGTGATCTGACTGATTCCATCTCCTGATCATTGATAACGCGCTGCTGCAGGAGTTTATCCAGAAGTTTGTTTAAAACAGGTTCAGACACTCTTTCAATAAACTGTGAGCGAACTGTGAGCAGCCTCTCAGCTGCTGGGACTCGGGCCTCAGCTGGGACACTCCTCATTAAGGTTTCTGTTCTTGGTGCTGAAGGAACAAAGATAGATAACAGACATGTAACAGGACGCTGACCTGCAGGTGAAAAGAGACTTAAGTATGATTTCAGTTAACTTTTATAAAACAACCTTGTAGCCGAGGTTTGCAGGGTAGTTTCTGCTCTGCATCTGCATCTGGCAGCAACCTTACCTGGCAGGTAAACAGATGATTTCCAGGTTTCTGTCCCCTCTTGGTCTTTGACCATCAGAGTCACAATCTCTGGATTTGTAGTCAGGAACACTTGAAATGTTGGATGGTAATTTGGGCCAAACTTTAAGTGAAATTGTGTTTGCTAAAAAAAACAACAGAAAGGTGCCATTTTTATGACCAGTGGGTTATCCAGCAGTTTGATTGATGTCAGCAGCATTTAGTTTGTAACTGCTGACTCACCTCTGGCTGTATCCTGCTCTCAGGGTCACAGTGGACACTGTACCTTTGACCGAAGCTGAAAAGGCAGTCAGCAGGGGTCTGGATGTATTCAGCCACATGTCCTTGTTGGGCAGACACCTTCAGTGACAGGACAGTTTATTATGCTGGTAACATTAATAACACTATTCTCCTGTAGGGCTCATTTAAACACATCAGGTGTAGAACATCATGTGTCTGTATGAATCAAAGAAAAACAATAATTCTGGAGATAAAACATCTTTCCACAGAGGAAAAAAAGCTCCAGGGTTTTATTTTTATCAGGGAAGTGTCAGATCTGACATTATGGGTCACAAACATCAAATGTCCACAGCTCAGGGTCATTACTGGGAGTGAGTACTGAAGAGCAGTGATTGGTCAGCAGAGCTGAAGGTGAATATGAGTACAGAAAAGTTAACTGGAGCCTGACCCTGTGGTCAGGTAATCAGGGAGGAGTGACCAGTAAACCTGTACATAACTTTAGTTAATCATCAGAAAACTGCTGAGTAATCATTTGGACTCTGTGGAGAGAAGCACAGAGTGAAGAGGATGAAACTGTTCACCTCTGACAAAGGGATATTTTCCTGCAGCAGAAACACATTGATTCTTCGAGGCCCTGTCTCCAGAGGTTGGAAGAACAGCAGAACTTGGCCATTTACGGGTTCCTCCATGTTCAGGAACCGCTTAAAGACATCCCAGATGAGGCCAAAGGCAGAGAGGTGAGGGACCTTCACAACCACATGGGTGGCAGTGATCTCCAGCGGCTCCAAGACGGTCATCCCATTATCAGAGATGTGGGCAACAGACAGCAGGCCGTCAACATGCACCACTGTCAGAGCAAAGAGCTTTTGATTCTGAGAGTTCAATTTTTCTTTTCACCATATCTGAGAATTACATTTCCTGCAAACTACAAGTTCACTCCTGTCCAGTTTTGTTCTAAATAAACTCCGTTATGGTTATTTGTATGACACTAAACAGTTCATATTAAATGAGCACCACACAGTAACACATATGTTTTCGGAGCATCAGTGATGATGGAGCTCACCCTCCTTTGTTTCACAGTGTGGCAGGTGGAGCTGACGGACAGCATCCTCAGAGCATGTGATGTTGAACAGCGGCCCTGCAGCTGTTTTTCCAGCTGGTTGAAGGAGGCTCTCATCCCATTGTACAGTCCGGTACAGCACCTCCGCCTCCTGAGCCATAACAAACACCAGTCTGGTCAGAGTACACAGGAACACACCTGGACCAGGACACCTGAACCTGTAGGACACAGAAGGGCTAAAGCACTCCAACCAGCCTGTATCACCTGAGGTCTGATCACCTCCAGCTGTATCACACGTAGGGATGGGTATCGTTTAGGTTTTATCCGATACCGGTGCCAAATCGGTACTTTTGAAACTGTGCCGGTGCTCAAACGGTGCTTAAAGAATGGAGAACACAAAATTGGTCCAAAAACCTCTCATTTTCAGCTGTTTTTTTGTAAAAAGATAACAATGTTAGCCTTTTCTGCAGCTATGGGGCATATATGGCATCACTCTTGGCTGGAAGCAGTGCTTAATCAATGGAAAAAACACAAACTTTGTCCAAAACCTCTCATGTTTAACTGTTTTCCACTTTTTCTTTGGTCATTTTAGCCTTTTTGGTATCTGCCATCAAACAAGAAGACAGCCACATGTAACTACGACGGTGTTTGCTAGTTCACCTTACTGCATTAATTTAATAACGTGGTTAGCCTACTCAACGTAAATTGCACACGAACAACATTAAGCTACTCGCCCAGAGAAGAACGGCTGCTGCTGCATCATCATCCTCATCATTTCTGCTACACTGGCAGGGCTAGGGGCCAGGACTCTCCTCTTCGGGTTCTTGGGGGATGTTGCTAACTCCAGGTCCGATAACAGGCAACCCACCCGCAGTAGATGTGCTCGGTGTGAGGTCTCGCAGCAAGCTATCATACGGCGCATTTCTGGGCTTTTAAAAAAAAAAAACAAAAACGCTACGCGTCGCCAGGTGTTTCATCGGATTTGAGGTGTTACCTCCTTTGACAGTATCACAGTATCAGCTTAAAGCACTTGTTGCAGGCTGCTGAGTTTGCATATTTTGCTGTGAAGTACAGCCAGGCTTTTGACCGCTTCGCCTTGGGCATTTTTAATCGGTAGCTCTGCTCTAAAAGAACGTACGTACCTGGACCCGCCTACTATCCTCGGAAATGTAAAATGATTGGCTAGAAGTGTATCACAGCTCAGGGAAAAAAAAGCACCGAAATGTGCGCTGCTTTTCGGTCTGGTTACTACTGTTTATGTCAGAACCGGTGACATCATGGCATCGGTACCCATCCCTAATCACACGTGTCATTTCACATCATTACATACATGTTATCAGTCTAATGTGAAACTAGAAGCACCTGTAGGAGATTTGTGTGGATTCAGTTTGTACTTCAGGTGTGAAGCTTGATGGAGGCTGGAAATCAGAGAGGAACAACATCAGCTGTTTAAAGCACCAACAAACAAGTAAGCAGTGAAGAAACCACACAGAGTACACATCAGCAGTTATAAGTACATACTTTCAAAACTGCGAGTAAAAATACTGATCGTCTGATTAAAAAAATAATTTCAAAATCAAATGATGCAGAATGCCGTATGACCAGTGAAGGGAATAATGGCATTAGTAACACAGACACACCAATGGGAGGAGCCACACATCAAAACAGGCAGCATGTGATCACAACCCACAACACGTCATTGAATCGTCACAGATGGTTGAAGCTGTCTTCAGCTTATCGGGAGCTAGGGAAGCGAAACAATCGCACAAGTGCTGCTGATTAGCTGAGGAAGAATAAAGTAGTCATGGTAAATCACAAGAGCAGTTTAAGATGCCATAGCAAGAAGATGCTATGTCAGCCCAAGACAACCGCGAGTCTCCATTTTTGTGTTAAAAGAGTGGACTTCAAACTATTTATTTATTTATTATTTATTTATTTACCAGTTTTTAAATTGAGTTGATAAAACCAGAGTTATGATAAAAAATATACTCAATGTTTTTTCCTGAAACTATTGTTATGTTTACAATTGATTGTTCTGTAAATAGTTTGAAATGGTTATTTAAAAAAAAAAAAAAAACAACACCTTGGCTGCATTTTTAGATAAATAGCTGCAAATAACTTTGTTGTTTGCAAAACTTGTGCAAAAGTTTTTAAAATTTACAATTTATTTTTGCATTTCAAGGTATGAAAATGATTTGTTAAACATGTTTGTGGTTGTTACAGTAAAACATACAACTTTTTTCTACTCTGATTTTATGTTTTTGTCTGATTTTAGATCAGTTGTGTTAATACAGTATGTCAAAATGAAAAGATAACTGTAAATTCAGACGTGAGGTTGTGCTGAAAAGAATGAACCAAACAAGGCGAGATAAACAGTTTTTAAAGGTGAAATGCAGAGGTAAAATCAAAAGTAGTCAAAAACGGCCAATTACACCCTGGAGCCTGAAGGGTTAAACATTTTTTTAAAGTAACGCAATAGTTACTTTTCCTAGTAATTAGTTACTTTTTTTAATATTTTAACTCAATTACTAACTCAGTATTATTTTTCTGAAGAAGTAGCTAGTAACGATAACTAATTACTTTTTCAAAGTGACTTACCCAATACTGCATATGACACTGAATCTTAAACCTGATTGGATGTCTGGCCCGACTGATTTGCCCTGTGATGTAACACACCTGACACAGTTTCTGTGCTCTTTTTTTGTTCCATTACACAATAAACAGATCCACGTGCTTTTCTCTTACCTTAATGAGCTCTGTGTCATCCTTAGACAAATCAAGCTGAGTGTCTAATGAGTCTGGATTCAGTCTGACCTCAGAGTCACCTGATGAGAGACAAACATCAAATAATTCAGGATTCCCTGGAACTCTAACTGGTGCTGTTTACCATCATGTTCATTTGTAATGGTTTTCTGATAAAATAGTAAGTAAAGTTTATTTATTAAGCGCTTTTCACAGACAGACAGTCACAAAGTGCTGTACACAAATATTAAAATAAACAATACAATCAATAGACATTATACACAGTGTAAATACAAACTGTTTGTGATGGATTTCTCTTGCTTCTTTAAGTACCCACTATCTTCTTCAGCTGCTGCCTTCTCAATCACTAAAATGATTTTAAAAAGTATTAAAATACTTTGACAAAAACCAGTACCTAAAAAACAGATCCTCAAAAAAACAGAATTTATAGATTTCTGCAGAATGAAATAAGCATAAACTAGCTTTTATGGGATATTTTATTAATGAAATACTGATGAATGTGACACACAGTCTCAGTACTTACTGGTTTTGTCTCTGGAAGATTTGACTGTCTTGTTATTGACCCTGCAGAGAGCAATGTTAAAACACAACTGATAAATGGTGTACTAAGCCAAGCTGGAAAAGCAGAAGACAACAGACTTTACCACAACAATCCTCAGTGTGGATCAGTATATTATCAGCCTCATGTCTGACCTGCAGTATCAGAACAACTTCAACATAATATTCATCTCCGCACAACTAAAATGTGGTGACTGACCTCAGAGTCTGTAGTCTATAATTTGGACTCTCCAGAAAACCACAGAGCTGCTGCACTCTGGAATCCTTCAGCTTGTTGTAGCTCAGGTCCAGGTCTCTCAGATGGGAGGGGTTGGACTTCAGCGCTGCTGCCAGATAATAACAGCTGATCTCTGACAAACCACAGTCCCACAATCTGTATAAAGAATGAAAGATGCCAGTTTATTAGACAAAGTGTGTGCTTGAAATCATTCAGTGTTTCGTAATCTGTTCAGAGCTAAAGAAGGTTCAGAATGTAGAAGTTTAGAAAATGGAAACTCCAAACAGCTGAAGCCAACAGGAAGCAGCTTCAAACAGGAAACTGTGCAGAGTTTC